AGATGACTCTGAAGATAGTGGTTTGTTTGATCATCTGCAACTCTGCCTCTTGAGTCTGAAGATATTGTGAATCTTTAATAACACAGTTTAAGAGCAAGGAAATGTTGTCTACATGAAATGTTTAAATCTTTCTGACTTTCTATAGATGACATTTTACTGATAGACAATCTACAAAGCAAAAACCACTGCAGCAAGTTAAAACAAAAATGTAAAGTCAGAAATGAACAAACTTAGACAACTGCAAGAGAAAAACTCTGCAAATCAAGCTTTTGTTTTTGATTTTATGCACTTGTTCTATGTTTGCTGTTGACGCAGTCATTTCACACAGTCGTTCATTTGAAGCGTGTTTCTTTTGCTTCAATAATTTGATATGTTGTTTGATGTGTTTATGAAGATGCATCATTTTTTACTTTTGTCCGTTTCACAAACTACAAAGTTGCCACAAACTGAATATTAAATTAAAATATTTGCACAGACACCTGCAAGCATTTCCCTTTTTGTGCATGTCTCTCAAAAACACATGAAAGAGCACACTAAGGTTGGAAAATGTCTGAAAACACAGGTAGTAGTTTCAATATGAATGCACATAAATGCAGCAAGAAAATGAGAGAAGAGCACAACCACTCAATGGATCTGTAATGATTTTCAGTGAAACTGTCTTTGGGGGCGCCAAATCCTAATCTCGCCTAGGGCACCAAAACGGCTGGAGCCGGCCCTGCCTGTGAGGTTTATGAAAACTTCAAAACTATTATCACTGTAATCTGTGAAGAATATCTGCTCAGACTGAAGAGCGGCCTCATGGTTCGTTATCATGACCAAAATTGTTTTTTGTTTTTTTTGTGAATGTGAAAGAAAAGTCAGCTCTGCAAGTTAAGACTGGATCAGGACATACCAAGATCTGTCTCTGATATGATAACACTTGTCTGAGGAGCGGAGCAGGTCAGAGCTCTGCTCAGTCTGTGGTGCAGGACATTAAATCACCAGCAGAGGGAAGAAGAGTTTAATTTTTTAAGATGTGGTCCTACTCCATGTATGTTGTTTTTACACAGTATTTGGACAACTCTGGAGAAGTCAAATTTGCATTACAAAAGTTTTTTCTGACATGAAATCTATTTTTTTTCCCAACATCTCACATTCATTCTCAAAATAAAAATGCTGATTTGTTTATTCAAAGCTACATAGCACTAAAATGGAACATATGTATTTGAACTTGTCAAAATGCAACAAAGAACAATTTCTGAGTCTTCACTTTTCTTTAAATGCTTGGCCCTCATACTCTGATTTATATGCTGTCTTCATTAAATTGCCCTAAAGACTATTACAATCGCTTCTGGAGCAGTATTAACAGATAAAACTCAATTTACTCTGTCCAGCTCATAAACAATCAGGTCTTGTTTTGGTCAGTCAGGTTTTTTCCTCAGAAGTCTGCTCAAATCCTCTGAAATCCTCCGAGTTCAATCCCATCTGTGGCCCCTTTTCCAGCATGTCATGCCCCACTCTCTCTTCGGTTTCTGACTCTATCCACTGTCTCTAAGACAAATGCATAAAAAGGCCACAGTAAAAGAAAAAAAAAAAAAGTTAAATTTTTATTCCTACGTCAAACGCAATAACAAATTGAAGCTTCAGCGTCCATCAAAAAGCCGAGAACAACATCTTCCTGGAGAGGCATATTTTATTTCATTTGTCAATATACTTCAGGAAACAATATACAAAGCAATGATGTGGTCACCGTTACTGAATGTGTGATGCTGTTCAAAGACTCAGAAAGCATTGGTGGGACAAAAAAAAAAAAAAAAAAAACAGGCCTTCTGGCAGCCGCGGACCCTGCTCTTTGACTGACAGGGAAAAAATGAAACAAAGCGAGAGATAAGTGCTGGAAACAAAACCCTTGTTGAAGATCTTTTCAGACACGAGGTGAGGTCTACTGTTAAAACGAGATTTAAGACTTTCAACAAGGCACTAGCGTCACGACCAAACCAATGAAATAACCAGTGCTCGCTTTAGTTGAACATGTTTATTACAATACATACATTTTCACATTTGAGCTTGTGACCTCTGCCGCCCTGCTCTGACACAAAAAGGTGATCCACATACACACATCCCAGTACCACCATCATATCCTTGATATCATTGTGATTTACTGCTCACCACTACAACTCTTTATAAATAAAACCTTTTTTATTCTGCGTCCTCTTCTTAAAACTCCACCGTATATTAGCGACTGTACAAAGGAATGAACCAGGAGGGTAAAAGAGGAACAAAAACAAAAAACAACATGAGGGTGTGAGGTGTTGGGAGTCTCAGGGAGTGGCAGGGCAGGGCCGAGGCTAGGAGAGGGGTAGTGGGAATGGTCCAAAGCAGCACGCCATCACATCTCTCATCTCAATCACTCACTCCATCACACCACCAGGCACTGTGTTTTTTTTCTTCAGACTGGGACATGCAGGGCCACCAGAAGCTGCAAATAAATCACTGAACCTCTGCGAGCAGTGCTGACGAGTTCTGACGAACCTGCAGAGAGCCGATGTTGGAGTAAAGGTTACAGGAAAAGAATCTAGACTCAGTTTAGCACATTCTGAAGGGGAAAAACTACCAGTGTGTTATGATTTCTGACAGGTTTTTGTGTAAATAATCGACTCCAAACATCCTCCTCCCTTCACACTCAGGTCACACGCTCGCTCTCAAACGGTTCAACGATCTATGAACTAACGAAATGAAGCTTGAAGTCTGCAGATGAGTTAACATGAAGGAAAGGCTAGCTAATGAACGTAGCCGCCTAGGCGTTGATTAGTTTGGATGTCAAAAGCTTTGATAGGCATGGCTTTCCATGGCTTCAATCTACAAAACATATTTACAACATAGATAATAACATCTACAAGAAATCTACATTTTTTTCTGCTGTGGTTTTCTTTTTTACAAAACCGAGTCTTGTAAAACCACCCCAACAACTCCCCCTCGTTCTTCTCCTGTTCCTCCCCTCAGCAGCTCCTCATGTTTCCCTCTCGGATGTCGCAGCCCAAACGGTCCAAAGCAAAACCCGTCTGCAGCTCCTGTGTGTGTGTGTGTTTCGACTGGGCTTAAGAGGAACCAAACAACTGCTCTCCTTCCAGCTTCCAAACTATGTGCAATGGGTCTTCCTCCCCTTTTTCAGACTCCAGCTCCGTCTAGCTAACAGAAGTTCTCAGACCATGAAAGAATTCTGGTTCTTCAACTTTTCGAGTTCTTTGATTTGCTGTCTGAGAAATAGTATCCTGTGGGAGAGACAAAGCAGAAGTTACTTGTGGTTATCTTCAAATTAAAGTTTCTTTTACATGCTTATATTGCAGCATTGAGACAGCTGTATTTACACTTTGAAACAGAGTTTTAAAAGAAAAACAATCTCCTGCCAGGTCTCCTCAAAAAAAGTGGGGCTTCTTTTTTCTGTTCTTTCAGTCGGCAGTAGCTCAGTCTGTAGGGACTTGGGTTGGGAAACGGAGGGTCGCTGTGTGGAGTGCTGGTTTGATTGAAAAGACTCCTTGGATCCACCCATGGACTCCATCCCCAGCCTAGAGCAAAAACTTTTGTGCAGGTCCGCCATTTTTATTCTTCTTACAGAGGAGTGATGTCTACCAGGAAAACTGAGGAGCGGCTCATTTAAAGAGACACACACACACCAAAACGGAGAGCTAGTTTATACAGGGTCACAAACCTCCTCTGGTGCTTGATTCATGTTATATTTTGACCAAAGCACAGCACAGATGTTTCATTTAGACCACAGGGGACTATTTGGAAAGGTGGAGAAGGGGGGATAATATGTCCTCTTTAAAACAAATGAGTATTAGTTTGTACGTAGCTAAGACTGATAGTGTGTCCTCACCTCTGCTCACGTAATGTTGCTTGGATTTCACAGACTCTGACCAAAGAGCGCAGGTTTTTGAGCTCGGTGCAGTTCTCAGACATACAGATGCTCCCCATGGTGTGAGCCTCTTCACGTAGTCTTGATGCCTTCGTCAAACACAAAGTTTGTATAAGAGGAGGCTTTCACGATATGACATACAGACTTCAATCACAGGAAATGATGAATAAATGTGAGTGGGACAAACCTGCTTCTCTGCGTGTTCGGCCGGCCACCCCTGTACATGTTTGATGAGATTCTCGTTGAAGTGAGCAGCGAGGGTGGGGGTGAAGGTGCAGGAGGGTCGGGCTGCAGAGGCAGATGGGGGAGCGGAGGTGGAGTTGGGGGCGTTGTTGTGGTTGTTGCTGCTGCTGCTGCTGGAGGCGACATGGTTGGGACCCGGAGAGGGACTCCTCTGACTGCTGCAGTAAACACAGAAAGAGGAAGTATGAGGGCACAGAGACATGTTAATAATCACCTGACTCATCACAAACAAAACACATCAAAATCTTTCCAAAAGCCAGGTTTAACATTGAACTTCCTTTTCTTCAACACTTTCATTTTTACCTGAGTTTAAAAGGAAGGTCTCAAAACACAAATCACCAGCAGTCACTGCAGAGTGAACTTAAAATTAAAGTAGGAAAATAACTTTGATCAAGGCTTTCCAAGCAGCAGGTCAGTGTCATTACAGAAAACAACTTAGGGTGCACTCACACTAGGCCTAGTTGCCCCTCCTCACTCCCCCAGTTAGCCTACACTCACATGGCTCCATAACTTCCCGACCTGAGCAAAGCTACCTCTTGTACACTCGTCATCACGTCTTAATATGACACACGCTTTGGCTTTACATCATCATGGATCATCCTCAAGTTAACAAGAAGCATGGTCTCAGACTCGGCACAATGGAGAAGAACGCAGAGAACATGACCGCAGCTTTCTTTCCTTTGTTGCTTATTTTGAATCGTCATACGGCCGTCTAACACTCCTGGATCTGCAGTTAACTGTACATGTGCAGCCTTACCGTGCAGCAGGCCAAATGTTACAACCGTTAGTGATGTGTCGGTCATGAACGATTCGTTCAAAATGAACGAATCATCTGGATGAACGAACTGAACTGAATCACTTACTGAAAAGAGTCATTCATTTCTCAACTTCAGTTGCGCACTCCTCTATCCTATCTCGTGTCTCTCTCTCTAGACCGCAAGAGTCGCTCAAAGCCCGCCATCCCTCTCCTTTCATGTCAGTGATACGTACTGACTGAACCAACAGGACGGAGTCGGTCGGGAGCTCTGTGTCGCTAAAGCCCGCCCCTACTTCTCTCTCTCATGTCTCCATAATTGAGGAAGTAGAAAATATATTATTTAACATTTAGGTGTCGCGAAAATGTATGTGCTTTTTATATCTGCTGTCAATTTACAAACAGCTTTTATATCCAACTCAATTTAACTCAGCTGACTGTTTTAACATCCACTTACAATCGGGTTTCAGTCAGTACAGTGTGTGTGTGTGTGTGTGTGTGTGTGTGTGTGTGTGTGTGTGTGTGTGTGTGTGTGTGTGTGTGTGTGTGTGTGTGACTGAGGCTGGTGACTCGCAGTCTCACTCGTTCACGTTCAGTCAGTGTTTCGTTCACTGAACGAACTGAGAGGAAGAGAGTGACTCGGAGGCGGAGCTCCCGTTCAGTTCGTTCAGTGAACGAACTGAACGGGAGCTCCGACATGAATCACTGAACAAACTGAGAGGAAGAGTGGAGCTCCGCCTCCGAGTCACTCTCTTCCTCTCAGTCAGACAGTCAGTGAGTGATTTGTGTACTGAACAGAATGGTCAGGGAAAATAAATGTGATTGTTTTAGCAGCTTTCAGTTTGCAAACTGTAGCTTTATCCAACTAAATTCTCAGCTCATTGGCTTATTATTCACCACCGGCTGTTCTCAGTACAATCGCGAGCAGAACTAAACGTTCGGCCGTGTTTCAGCTTATTAAATTCTGATTCACAGACAGAGCTGCAGAGAAGTACTGAACGATTCGGTGAACGAATCACTTTACTGAACTGATTATACTGATTCAGTACACTGAAAAGAACTGCTTTTCACATCACTAACAACCGTGCCAAGGAAGTGTACCGAACTTGAGCACGGTATGGAGCACTCGCATTTGTCACACAAACGGGACTTTGGGGGTCAAATGTGTTTGGGAACGGTACAGTTTGTCTCGTGAGGGTGCGTCCTTAAGCTGCAATTCAAAGCTTGATCTGAAAGTCGATGTGGTTGAAGTTCTTGCAGACTTTTTACTTTCATCTCTCTTTGGTTCTGAAATGAAGAAGAGAGGTGAAAAGCCTCCATGAACTTTAACCAAGTCCAGTTGCTTTTCAGAATAAGCTTTAAACTCTGACCTTGATGACCGAGAGCCTCCAAGAAGCAGAGACAACTTAAGTTATACAGTTATACAGTTAGTTATACAGTGTTGCATCCTGAGAGAAAGAACGTTTCACGCTGTAAACAAACACAGGCAGGGGATCATTCAGAGGTCAGCTTTCTGTCTCTGAAATACCAACATTGTTTTCACTGCTCGAGTTAAATGACAAGAATAACACCGTGAGTTAGAGTCTCTGTGCAGGAGGAAAAACTTCTCTCACAAGAACGAAGCACCGAACTAAACAACAACATGCTTCTACAAAACGTGCTGCAGAAACTGGAGAGCCAGGTGGTTGTGTAGGCACTTTGCAGACAGTAGACAGTCCATGCTCTCCGTGCTGTATGCTTTTAGCATCTACTGTTCAGTAGGCACGAACAGCAGGCCGATATTTGATCCTACTTTGTCTGATTCATTCAGTGTGGAAGTGGCATCAGTAGCCCGCCTCATGTTATTGACGCTCCAACTCAGATGTGATATGCATGATGGCCCAGAAAATACAAAACTTCCCATTGCATGTAAACAATCTAAAGACGTGTTACCTGAACCAGCCACATCCATCCCAGTTTTTTTTTTTTTTATCCTCATTTGTATCGATTTGGAGGAGCATGTGAAGGGGCGTTTTACATTTAATTTCGAACAGTATTGTGGTTGTTTAAATACAATTATTTTCCTGAAAGGACGCATCCAAACCATACTGCACAAAATCCCAGAGTTAGTATCACTACTGTCTACTGAGATGGACCCAAAAAATGAATGACCAAGAGGGTTCAGTCTACTGAAACCTCCTACTGAAAAATAAGCACGCCATACTGAACTGTGGCTTTTCAGAAAGGAAGGTGTGACCACAGCATACTTCTCAATGTGTCCAGAGCTCATGGACATCTCACCTCCAAATGAGAATGTCTGTGGAGACGAGGCTACACCGTTTGCTTCACAAACAAAAAACCCTGCTTCAATTTCACTGATATGTGAAATGAAGTCGTGTTTCTATTTTAGAGAAAAGAAACCCTCACTTCTCTTCCATTATACCCCTTTACCCTGTTCCAGTCTTAATCAAAGTTCTCCCGCATCCAAACTAAATCAACACTGATGGATTCTGCTTTTATTTTTTCTTAACGTTGTGTCTACATCAACAAAAACTGTGCAGACAAAAAAGATATGAATATTTTATATTGTGGTAATGAGCATCGCTGTAAAAACAGACAAACTGACCTCTCACGGTTAAACTTAAAAAAATTATGCACTAAAGACAACACAGCCAAATGACACTTATTGTTCCATCAATGGCCAGCAGATGGTGCAACAACACAACATAAGAAAGACAGTTCACTCAGGAATGAAATTGTATGGTGTTAAAATCATTCATGAGCTGATGTGAATGGGCTGGGCTTCATCATGGAAGACATCATTTCTGCTCTGATAACATGGGTAAATGATTTCACGGAGAAATACACAGCAGTCCTTATGGATGAATAAGAATTGTACAAGTCATGTGGTAAAACCCATCTTGCACGTACTGGTTAAAGAATGATTCAGCATTCAGAAAGCAGCAAACCCAGCCTAAACACTGTGAACCAACACAGTACAGTCAACGAAACATATACTCCATGATAGGTGGCAATCTCAAGGACCCACATACAGAATAAGACGATGAAGACCCTTCTTTAGAAAACTCTCCTCTGTTTGATCTTGGCAGAGTCGTGTTTTTGTACGTACCCTTGGCGCTGGAGCGTGCGTGGAGAAGCGGTTGTGGCATCGTGACTGTGCTGCTTATCGCTGGAGAGGGGCTGTTGGGATGTGGGCTGGGGATGAGATGCCTGCTTCCCTGATGGGGTACTCACCTAAACAAGGTTCAGAGTGGTAGACTGGTGTTACACATTACTTACTACAAAGTAATATATTTGACCTGCTTATTCTCTAATGTTTGTTATACAATTTTAATGCACATTAACTAGAAGTCATGCGGTACAACAAAGCTTTAAAAAAATTGTTTAAAATGTTGGCTGACTTTTTGCAATGTGAGTCAGAATTGTTGGCAGGTATGAAAATGGAAATCCAATGTAGCCACTGTTGGGGGGGGGTGTCAAATGTATGAAGGATTAAACTAGTGTATCATATATGTCTCCAGCAGGCAAACACATTTTTCTTTTAATCAGATAGAAATAAAACCACTGTGTATTGTTACTTTTCTGTGCCAATATACATCACAAAATGAAATATTGAGTCAAAACTTAGTTGTAACACAAATTAAGTACAGAAGCTGGAAGTGTGTGCTCACTACAGCATCATGAGAGTCTGGGTACAGAGTAACAGAAGTTACGCTGATGTAGCACAACAAAACAAAAATATTCACGTCACAGGCAGTGCAATGTCATGTGAGCTAAAGCACATGTTGCACTTTTGTGTGATTGATGCAAACCAAAACTACAGCTTTCTTGTTTCTAGTTTGATCTTCAATAAAAGTCTGACTATATCACCACCAGTAATCACACAACTGACCACTGTATGCAGAGGCTGTGTTTCCCTGCATGTAAAAATGTAAAGGCTACACTACTGCAGACATAGGGCTGATTTTCTTCCTATTGAATTGGGCTAGTTTCCAGTGAAATCCACTGAAACATTCATCCAGGTGTTCATTCACTCTACTTGATGCACAGTATCTTGCTGACTGAAAAACAGACTGAAATATCTTGACTTACTTTTTGCTGTGATATGGCGGGCTGCGTGCTGAGGAGGGGTTTGAGGGGGCCAGCATTGTCTGTGGCGTGCTGATCCTTGGGGAAACATAAGACCTGGCGATGAGGCGTCAGATGTTAACGACATCGGCGACTGTTCGATTGCTGAGCTGCTTGAGACACAGATACAAAAAAATGACACAATCTAAGGGTAGAAAAAAATCTACTACACTGAATACCAAAAATGCAAACCATAGTGGGAGTATGTTTTTTTTTCTTCTGCTAGGTGATAGCAACTCTTTTTCAAAGTCGCTCTATCTGCACACAGTGTCAGCACAGACAGCTTCTGCTTTGGCTTTGTTTACCTTGGTTGGAGAGTTGAGCAGCTTGAGAGAGTATAGTAGTGATATTGAAAGCCGACGGTCAGCTGTGAGGATCTTATGGAGCATCGACTGCAATGAAGCTTGTGTGACAGCAGCTGTAAGAACTGAGAAAGAAACAAAACACTGTTAGCGTGACTGACATAGTAAGTCCTGATACTCACGAGGTTTCAGCACTGCTTCACACTGAATTTGACAGTCAATTATTATTCATATTGAAATCCAGTTCATCTTGTTATCAAGCTGAACAGTTTCTGATTTCTGTAACTATATAAGATTTCATGAAATTTATAGTCCTGCTCATGCTTTTGCTGGTCTCCTTTGTTTA